ATCGAGCCCCACATCGGGCTCTCTGCTCAGCAGGGAGCCTGCTTCCTCCTCTCTCTCTGCCTGCCTCTCTGTCTGCTTGTGATCTCTCTGTCAAATAAATAAATAAAAATCTTAAAAAAAAAAAAAGAAGAAGAAGCTCCATTTCATTGTTTTCTAATCACAGCGTCTGTCTCTACCTCAGTTTACCGAAGCTGAACCTCTGGAGCAGCTCAGACCCTGAGCTGGCGGGCCCAGGGGATACTGCCCCTGATCTCGCAAGTAGTCGAAGCTTTGTCTACAGAAGCGGGGAAGCCGTGATGGGCTGCTCCTGTCTCGGGCATGGTCAGGTCAAGTCCCTGCCGTTCGCGGCCAGTAGCAGTGGCCTTGTCCAATCCCACGGGCCTCCAGTCTTTCACCCACCTGCCTTCTGTGGGCAGACGGTCATCTCGCACACACCCATTCCTCAGCCTCCTTGCAGACTGAAGGAACTGCTGGCACACACTATGGGCTTCATTTGCCTCAGTACCCCTAAAAGCCCCAGGCCGGGTAGTGGCGGGCTCTGGCCTCCGGGGCCTGGCAGGGGTGGGGGTACCGAACATTTGGCCCCTGTGCAACGTGAGTCTCCACCTTTCCGCTCTGCAGAGTCTGTGTCCGTGGCCCTGCGCCTGACTGCTAAGCTGGCGCTTGCTGTGTCCCGTGTTCAGTAACAGAAGCACCCGGCTCCAGGTAGAGTTAGCATCCTGTCTGGTGTAACTCACGCCCAGAGGCTGGATGCTGAAAACACTGCAGAGATGTATTTCTCGGTCATGGAGCAAGCCTAAAGGGGAGCTCGCTCTTGGCAGGGGGCTTGTGCCCAGGCAGCAGCCCGGGGACCTACGTTCTTTCCCAGGAGATTGACCAGCAGCATGGCCTTGCTGTCCCCAGCAGCAGCGGTGGAATGGGAAAGACAGAGCCTGGAAGGAGTCCCCATCACTTCCACACACAGTCTGTTGGCTGGAACTCAAACCTGGGGCACGTCAGCTACGGGGAGGCTGGCAGGAGGAGCTGCGTGTCCCCACTTTGTGAGCAAACTCTACCACGCCTCCTGGCTGTCCTTCACCTGGCTCCAGGCTCCTTTCCCAGCTCATTTCCTGCCACCCTCACTTCCAGACATGGGCAACCTCAAAAGATGCCGTCAGCTCCCTCACTGCTGGGCCTTTGCTCGTGCCATTGAGTCTACCCAGAGCTTTCGTTCCCTTTATTGCTCCATCCGTTCATCTATCTGTCCGTTGCTCCATCCATCCATCCAAGAAACACTGCTGAGCATGAAATCTGTGTTAGGCACCGCTCTGGTCTGGGGTTATCAAAATGAGCAAAATGGAACATAAACAAACTACTGTCCTCATGGGGCTTGTATCCTAGGAGTGCGATGCAGACAATGAATAATAAACAAGCTAAAATAAACCAGTTATATATAATGTAAGAAGAAAGCAATGATTGAAAAAACTAGAGCAGAGTAAGAGAATCAGGAGGGTTAGGTCGCAACTTAAAGGCAGGGCAGTCTCTGGGAAAGGAGGCCTCCCTAAGAAAGTGACAGCTGGGCACAGACCTGAAGGAGCCAGGTAGGGAGACACAAGGATGGCTGGGAGAAGAGCATTCTGCACAGATGGAGCTGCATGTGCAAAGGCCCTGAGGTGGGAGTGACTTTGCAGGTCTGAGGAACAGCAGGGAGGCCTGTGTGGCCACAGAGTGGTGGGAGATGAGGTCAGAGACTGTGGGGGCCACCTCCCATGGTGAAGCTGGCCCCTTCACAATGCCCACCTGTCTTTAGCTTTCCACCTAGATATTCCTTACGCAAGAGAACCTTCCAGGGCCCTCTGCACTGGGGTGGGTGCCTTGTCTGTGAATGCCAGCAGCCCTGTCACAGTCTTCCTCCTGGGTGTGTGCTTTCCACCCCTGCCCCGCCCTGCCGGGTCCCCTGATGATGGACTCCCTCTGCCTTGCTCACCCTCACATCCTCACTGGACACATACTGGGTACTCCACATGGGAATGGGATTGGCCTCCTGAACGCAGGGTCTCCACATGTAAAAGGAGGAAGGCTCTCCCTTCACAGGCAAATTCAGCTTGGGAGCTAGGAATGAAGGGATGTGATTCTCTGACCTAGTTCATCCCTTTAGTTGGCCTTTTTGTCTTAACAGATAAAACACCCATAAGTTCTTTTTTCCCTGACTCTCCTTATTCTAGATTCCAGAATGACCATGCAGAGGCGTATTCCTGTCCGGTCTCAGCGTCTTTCCTCATCTGACCTGTGACTTCATCATGAAGTGCCTTTAGAAAGAAGCCTCTTTTAAAAAAAAAAAAAAAACGATTTTATTTATTTATTTGACAGAGAGAGAGAGAGAGATCACAAGTAGGCAGAGGGGCAGGCAGAGAGAGAGGGGGAAGCAGGCTCCCTGCTAAGCAGAGAGCCCGAGGTGGGGCTCGATCCCAGGACCCTGAGACCATGACCTGAGCTGAAGGCAGAGGCTTAACCCACTGAGCCGCCCAGGCACCCCAGAAAGAAGCCTCTTGAAGGACCCTCCCCTGACCTCATGCGTTCCACCCTCTCCCAAATTCAGAGGATTGCTGGATCTCACCCACAGATCTCCCACCCAAACCCCTGATCCACAGCCTACAAGGGCCCCGTCACCTACGACAAGCTCGTGACACAGCAGCCCATGAGGCAGCCGCACCGTGATGACTGAGCGCCTCCAAACGTCAGGGGCCATTCTGACAGCCATCTGGAGGCAGCCCGGCACTAGGAGCTGTCACTGTCCATCAGGCCGTCTTCCGCCATTGGTGTAGAGGGACCGGCACGGTATCAGATGCCCTGCCCCTTGCTGGCAAGAATATTCCACCCTGGCTACTCGTCCAAGGGCGTCCACATCCCTTCCTCCCCTGGATCGCACCCGCACCCACGTCCCAGAGCCCTCGGCAGTGGGCAGCCTGTTCACTTCTGCCCAGATGAGCACCGGCACGAGCCTAGAGGACGGTGAAAGTGAGTTTCTGGATCTGGGCTGTTTGGGCAGTGGTGGTGGCAGCAGGCACGGGTAGGCACCCACTGCGAGATTTGGTCCAGGTAGCGGAGTCCTGGCAGTGGGCCAGCGATCATGGCTTCCAGGGACACCTTGTGCCCCAGCTCATGGCCCCACAGCCTCCCACGGGTACTCACATCTGGGTCATCTTCTCACACTTGCTCCTCTCATCCTTCCTGCAGTGTGGTGGCCAGTCCCCCGCACTAAACCCGCTTGGTTTGCTGCACTGAGGCGTTCTCTGTTCTTCTGACTCTACACGGACTGCTGTCGTTCTTGGTCAGAGCCTCGGCCTCCGAGGAACGGTCCCTTGAACACGGGAACCCAGGCTGGCTCGTATGACCAGATTGGGCTGGGCCACAGCCATGACCTCACTGCCCCTGGGGGGAAGGAGACCCCAGAAGGTGAAAACTGCCATTTGACATCTCTGCTAGTTTCAGGGAGGGGTGGAGATGCCTCCTGAAGGCAGGGCCTGGAGACCTGCCGGCTGCTGTCCCCAGTCACTGTGACGGGTAGGACTGCGACAAATGCTCCAGTGGGGGCTGGATGCTGGGGCTGCCGCGGGGTCAGCAGAGACAAAGCTGTAGACTCAGCTCCAGGCGCAGGCACAAGACTGCAGAGTGTCCTCAGCAGCTGGGAACAGTCCGGCAGCTTCGGGATGAGACAAGGGACCGTGGAGCCTGGAGCTTGATCTGCGGGGGTGGGGTGGGGGGGTTGGACAATGAGCCTCCACACCCTCACCAGACTCCAATGGGGAGCTTAGGCCACTGGTTTGGAAGGAGCAGCACCCTGAGAATAGCTAAGGGGACATTTGTGTAGACTTGAGCAAATCTGAGAAGCCAGCCCCGAGGAAGGAACAATGTGAGGAAGGAACGATGTGAGCGAATGAGCGGTTGCACGCTCCCTCCTAAGCCCCACCATGCCCCAGGTGCACATGCGCAGTCATCCTCTCGTGCCCAGCGGGCCCCCCTGCTCAGCTGTGTATCTTGTAGCTCAGGACAGAACCCACCTAACCTTCCAAATGAGCAGAGAAGTTGCCAGAAGAGTTATGTGTGTATTTTTCTCGGAGATCATCTATCCCATAGATTAGATAATATGACCTAGGACCCTCCAGCCCAGCATCATCTTATAGAGAGGGCAGGGACTGGGTGTGGATCCTGGTGCTCTTGCTGTCCAGCTCTGTGGGCTGTAGCCTAGTGACTCCCCCATTGTGGGCCTCAGTTTCCTCATCTGTAAAACAGGCCGAAGAACTGGGATCTCATGGCACGGCCATGACAATCAAGCTAGACAAGATTCTGAAGGGCCTTCCTCTTCTTCAGGGCAGCCCTGTAATCCCAAGTGGGAACTAGGAGAACTCCCAATCAGGGATCCCTCCCTCCCTGGGCCATAGGGTGGGGGGGCAGGGAGTGGGACAGCCTCCCTCCCTGGAACTAGAAACCCCAGGGGAAGGCTCTTCAGTGGGGAGAGGGGCATGTCTAAGAGCAGTAGCTGAGGAGACCTGACAGGACATCACAGCCTCTTCCTGGCAAACCCCGTCCGGCTGCTCGGCCGGCCCCGTGCTGAGTGCATGGCTGTGGCCTCAGGAGGCGGGAGCTGTGACGTGGGAAAGGATGGCAAAGTCCCCAGATCCTGATGCCACTGAGTTCTTGCTGAGAGACCTCAGCTAGGCCCCCAGTGCCTGTCAGAGCCTCGCCTTCCCCACCAGAAAGTGGGGGCTTTGCTGCCCATTTAAATAAAAGGCTGAACACCAGGGACCGGTACAGAAGAACGGAGCACGCCTGCCAAGCCTGCCTTCTCCCCTCCTTCTCACACCCATGGCTCCTTAACCTGAACTTCTTTCCTCGTCAGTAAAACGGGGGCCAGTGATCCGACTGGAGCAGGATGGTGGGGCGAGAACAGTCGCCCCCCCGCCCCGCCCAGGCCCAAGAGCCCCTGCACAGCTTCTAGAAGCAGTCCTGGAGCCCGCGCACTAGGTCACATCTTTTATTGAAATGTATGCCATGCAATCTGTTCAAGAGTTTGAAAAATAACAGAGGGAGCAGGTGTGGAGACCGGCCTCGGCCCAGACACCACCTGGAACAGGTCCTGAGTAGAAAAGGCACATGACTTACCACCTGGCTTGACTGGGCAAGAGAAAGTCCCCAAGCAAGACACGGCAGGAGCGCGCAGGGCCCGTGGGGTAATCTGTTTGCAGGGGGGCCGGGTGGCATCCCCACGCGTCCCCCCGCCCCTGCGGGTGGAAGCGGCCTACGTGACCTGCCTGCCGAGGAAGGGCTCCTGGAGCACCCGGGATGGGTGCGGGCGAGGTGGGAGCGCCACGGAGTAGCACCGGGGGGCTGGGGGGGGGGGGAAGGGGGGCGGTACAGGCTGGTGGAGGTGGGCTGGGGGCCCTAGGGTCTGTGTCTGCTGCAGACCAGGTCCCAGCCTTGGAGAGTAGGCTCTGCTGAACACTGGGGCCAGGCAGGCCACTGCGGGGGGGGCGGCGGGACTTAAGGCAGCCAGAGGTGAGGAGGCTCCAGGTGGCTCTTGCAGGAACTGGGGACAAGCTGTTCCCGGACCCAGGGCTGAGCCAGGTCCCCCAAAACCCTGCATGTCTCCTGGTTCAAGTACTGTTTTGTGTGCATGCTGGCCAGGTGTGGCATGTCACCTGTGGTTAAGAACACAGGTGCCGGCTGGGACCCGAGGAGGACTGGACCAGGGCTGCTTTCTTGATGCCAGCTGGCTGTCTGCTCTGGTTGGCCCTGCTTGCCCTAGGGGCCTCCCTGGGGTCCCGTGTGCTATGCTGTGGGGCACCCTCCTGGGGCCTGACCAGGAGCGCCCTAGGGCCAAGTGCCCTCCCGGAGCTGGTTTGTGTCACCCTATAGGCCACGGAAGGAAAAAGCACCAGTTTTCTCGGCTACTGGGCAGTTTTCATGACTGAGTCTATGTTTGGCCTTGGGAAGGCTTGTGTAGATGGGGAGAGGGAGGGGGAGGGGCCCCATAAGCCCCCTGCCCCAGGAGTCAGGGGGAGAAGGCCCGGGGCCACTCTTGGGCCTACAACCCACTCTTTCCTTGAGCTGCTCCAGGGATGGGACACCCCCAGCCTTTTGGAGGGGGCTCAGCAACTGAGTCCCAGAGTTCTTCCTGGCTGCCGGCAGAGGCCCAGGGGCACTTGTGGCTCCTCACTGTAGCCCTGTTGCAAACAGAACTGAGGAGCATGGTGGGCAAGGCGAGGCGTGCCTTCAGCCCTTGCGGATGGGAATTCTTAGAGGCCAGATTGGGGCTGGGAGCGAGCATACAGGAGGCCGTGAGGGTGCTGAGGATATTGCCCCTCCAGGGCTCAGGGACCCCTCACGGGTGGGCTGCAGGCACAGCCTGATCCAGCTGTTCCTGCCACTGGGTGGGAAGGGCTCTGTGCAAATGTCGACCAGGGGCTGCCGAGCTGCAGCGGTCATGGGGAGCTCGGTGCAGAGATTGGGAGCGAAGAGGTGAACACAGTGAGAAAGGGAGGGGTCCCCGTGGCAACCAGTTTCCCCCAGCACACACACTTCCCCAAGCCCACCCCCAGCCAGAGGCCTGGAGGGGACACGGTACCCCTGGGGATATGCTGTGAACCAATGTCTCAGCCCCTAAGGGACTCTGACTCCAGGGTCACCCTCCAGCCCCACAGAGAGGCAGGCATGGATTGGAAGGAGGGCACGGGAGGTCAGGACCCTGAGCCCTCCCCAGGTCACAAAGCCCGCGGAAGGAGGGGTGTTGGTGTGCACCTCCCAGGCCATGGCCAGGACTGCTGTCTGGGAGGGACCCTGGGATCCCAGTCAGGCAACAGGACATGTCGGACCACAAGCTAGCCACGAGAGAGAAAGGTGCTCCGATGTCCGATGTCCACAAAGGAAATCCCACCACATTACTGTTTCTTCCCCTTGGCGGTGAGGACGGTTTTGTGAGGACAGTGTGCCTCCCTCCCACCTGAGCTCCAAAGGGACCTCTGTGAGAAAGCGCACCCGCGGGGGACCAAGAGGCCGGTAAAAGAGGGGTGTCCCAGGGCTTGGTGCTCTGGTCGTGCCTGGGGCTGGCTCCAGGCAGACGGGGCAAAAAGGGATGGCGGCCACAGGGCATGGGGACCTTGACTTCCTGCACAGCTGACAGACGAGGGGGCAAGGAATTAAGGGAACAGGTACCGAGGAGAGAACACCCAGTGCTCCCTCCACCAGCCCCTGCACTGATGCATAGACCTGCACAGTGTCCCGTGCATGTGCATGTGTGCGCGCACATGTGCTCGTGTATGCACGGTCGGGCCGCGGGGGTGAGCAGTCCACGCATTCCAGGCTTTGCCCCTGAAGGAGGGTTGCCCCTCACTTGGGCCCACCCCCCAGTGCCGGGGTGCAGGAGCTGGGGGAAGGGAAGGGGCTGGTGGCAGCCCCTGGGAAGTTGGCACGCGAGGTTTCTTATTGCTCCTGTCCACTCAGGCAATCCCCTCCTCGCCGCACAAAGGACACAGCCCTAGGTGGTGGCAGAGGGGGCCCCAAACCAGCCCCCCTGCCGATCACAGAGCAGGGAACAGCAGGCGGGACCCAGACCGGCCACAGGGACAGCCCTGGCCACCCTCTGGTCCTGGCTGCTGGCCCCCGCTGGCCTGCCCACGAAAGGTGGGGGTGGCCCCGTGAGGAGCCAGCCAGTGTGTGTGGAGTGGGGTCCTCCGGGACCTCGGCTGCCCGGCTTCCCCTTCACCGCGGTAGCTGGACCACTGCCCGTCATCGGCCGGCAGCCTCTGGGGGCCACCGAGGAGCGTCCTTACAAAAATAACTCTGAGTCCATCCCCGGTGGGGAGCAGTTTTCCTGAGAGCACACAGAGGGCCGGGGTGAAGGCCGTGAGGAGAGGTCCGGCATGGAGGGTCCTGCCCCGCGGGGCCGGGGCTATGGCTGGAGGCGCTCCAGGTACTGCGGCAGGGGGTTCTCCTTGACGTACTTCTGAATGTACCAGCACGTGAGATGTGCCTTCAGGTCCTCCTCCACTACAAAGTCCAGAGCAGCCTGGCGGCCGGGGCAGAGAGAGCAGTGGTCAGTGCCTGCAGCCCGCAGCCCGGCCCCCATACTCTCCCTGGTGCTCCCCTCCAAGGGTGGGAGCTGGCGCCTGCGGGCCGAGGGACGTGCTGCCGCCACCCTCCTTTTGCAGTGGGGGAAACCAAGGTACAAAGCTGGGATACACTGCCCGTGGCCACACGACACCGAAGTGGACCAGGGGCCCGGGGAGGGCAGTCTGCACACAGGCAGCCCAGTGAACCCAGCAGCAGTGCGGGCTCTGTATGTCTTGAAAGACATCAAGCAGACACTAAACCAAAGAAGCCCCAGCCCTGCGCCACATCTGGTCTGCCCTGCACCCCACCTGCGAGGCCTGGCAGCCAGCGCTCCCACCCCGTCCGATCTCAGGGCCTCTGTACTCACAAGGCCTACAACTCTGTTGCCCTCACTCTCCCATGGCCACTCCTTCGATGCCTTGTCCTGGAACCTTACCCTCTGGCTGGGTAAAGTTCCCTGCACCTAGCAGAGGTCACACTTGGGTATGATAGGGCTCGCACAGCCGCTCATGGGCGGGGGGCCATGATGAGGATACCGCCACGTGGCCTTCATCATGCCTGTGGCTGTTCTCACCATGGACAGCGAGGGCAAGCTTGGGGTCCCCCTGCCCCAGTGCCTTGCAGGACGTCCTGCACATAGTTGGCGTTTAATAAGTGCTTGCTGAAACAAAGTGGAGGATGGCCTGGGTGGGGTTGGCTGGTCTGATGAGAGGGGAGCAGCATTTACTGAGCACCTACCAGGGACCCTGTGCTTACATGCCGGCCAGTTTGAACCTCCAACTCCACACGCCCGAGCAGGCCTTGTTGCGTCTCACCGTCCACACCCCATCTCAGGGCTCACAACCTGAGATCCTCGAAAGACAAGATTCCAGGCTATTCTCCCATTTCATAGAAGAAGAAACGGAAGGCCCCAGGAGGCAGCAGAGGCCACATGGTGAATGCATTTCATGCCCTCGGCAGGCAGGACTCAGGGGAGACATGGACAGGGGTGTCTGGTAGATCCCACAGCTGGCCAAGGCTCCCCAGAATCAGGGAGGGGTGCACCCAGCTTCACGGCCTGCCTCCCCTCTCCCCAGGTCAGTAACTCTCAGACTTTCCTGAGTTACAATCCCCAGAGAGCAGCACAGAGGCTGGGTCCTGTTTCAAGGAAGAGGACAGCTATGTCTGCCATACCCTGGGAGCCTGGGGGCACAGCTACAGGAGGGCAGAGGGGAGAGGAGGGACGAGGCCCGAGTTGGGGGTGGACGTGGGTAGAGCAGGCAGAGGGAAGAACAGGGGCCTGGAGCAGCCCCCAGTGCCATGCACGGAAGGCCATTCTCTGTCACCTTCCCCGCATTAAGCCCACACCCGCTTTCCAGCCAGCCTGGGTTTTGGGGATGGAGGGCTCGGGGGCGAGAAACAGGGCGCAAGCCACTGTACTCGGACATTCCTTTATGAGGTCGTTCTATCGGGGTTTAATGAGCACCTATTACTCATGTGCCAAGCCCTGGCCAGTGAGCTCCTGACATCCAGCAGGTGTCTGCAGCCCTGGAGGCTTAGCCCTACGGAACCCAAGGCCTGGGCCCACACTGGCTGCCCCCTGCTTCGGAGGAGCAGGGGCGGGGAGGGCAGAGTGTGCCGCCAGCAGCTGCCCATTCGCAGCTGTAACATGTGGCCGAGCCGGCACCGTTGTCAGCACTCCAGCCATGACACAGACCCGGGTCAGCCCCCAGGGCCATGGTTTCGCCACATGTGGGGGCAGCCCCCTCCCCCCAGCCTACCTTAGCCAGGTGCTTGGCGATGCCACGCCCACGGTAGGCGTCGGGGACCTCGGTGTGCTGCAGGTCCACGATCCGCTTGCCCACATACTCGTAGAGCAGGACGGCCCGGTCATGACATCCTGCGGAGGGACCGTGGAAAACAGGTGAGGCTCAGCACATGCTCGGGGCGTAAGGCAGGCAAATAGAGGGACGGGTGTTTGGGGCCAGGCTGCCAGTGTTGGACCTAGAATGACCTCTCTGTGCCTCAGTTTCCTCATCCATAAAGTGGGGGCTATAATAACGCATCCCCCATCGTGTTTGGAACGGAGGTCATCTCTGCACAATGTTAAGATTAGTGCCTAGAGCATGTTGGCCTTTGCTGTTGTAATTACCATCAGCGCACATCATCCCCCCACCCGCTGTCCTATCTGTCCATCTGTCCCTTCACCCCTGTATCTAACCATTCCTTTCAACAGATGTTTATGGAGCCTCAGGCACTGTTTCTGATACTGGGACTCAGAGGCAAACAAGCCAGACAAAGAGCCTTGCCCTCATGGAACTGACTAGAAGAGGAGATAGAGGACAAACAAGAAAAGCAAGTTACTGTGCAGCCTGGCAGAGGGTGGGGCAGGGGTGGAGGGAGTGCTGGCTAGAAACAGGAAGGAGCAGAGGGAGTCAGCCATGGGATGTCTGGGGGAACCCTGTTTTGTCAGGGGGAACAGCCAGTGCAAAGGCCCTGAGGCAGGAGTGGGTCAGATGTGTTTGAGGGACAGGGAGGTGGCTGGGGTGGCTGGAGCAGTGTGGGCAAAGGGGAAGGCGGGGGTGAGGAGGGCAGGGAGGTGACAGGATCAGGTGCTGTAGAGATGGTAAGTCATTGTGAGCAGGGAGCGAAGAGGGCCCTGGGCAGAGGGGGAACAGAAGGTGACTCAGGATTTCATGGGAATCCCTCTGGCTGCCCTGAGGGCAGACCCAGGGCAGGCACAGGAAGACCAATGAGACGGCTGATACACTAGCCCAGGTGAGTGATGATGGGAACCCAGTCGCAGGCAGAGGCACTGGGGTTCAGGCAGGCATCAGACTCGGATGGTGCTGTGACGGTGTAGCCGGCAGGATCTGCCGGGGACCTGGACGGGGCAAGTGAGAAAGAGCTCAGGACAACTCCCCGGCTTACCGCTGCAGGCCACTGTAAATGTATGAAGGAAAAAGTAAAGTGGGTTGGGGGCGACACAGGGCCATTTAGCCAGAGGCAGTCCAGGGAGACCCCCTCCAAGAAAACCTCAGAGTTGGGGGGGTGCCTGAGGAAGGGGCAGGCTGAGGACAGGGTTAGTGGAAAGGCCCTGAGGTTAGAAAACACAATTTACTGGCTCTAAAAGAAAACATGGCAATGCCAAGTGTCTTTAATTTTTAAAAGCAAATAGTCTTTCACGTGTTTTGACTTTAAAGCTTCCTAGAGTTTGCTCCTCAGTGCTGCCTGGGCTCCCAGCCTACAGAGAGCGTGGAAGGCTGATAGGCCAAGAGAGATCAATGACCAGACCAGGGTCTTACAGCAAATCAGACACGGCAACAGGCTCCCATCCCATGTGGGAGGCTTTCTGTCTCTCCCCAAAGCTCCAGGAGCAGGCTGCAATTCATCTTCCCATTTCCAGATGGGAAACTGAGCTCCAGAGATCCAAGGGCGACCATGAGTCCAGGTGAAGCCGGTACCCAGGCCTCCTGACCCTCAGCCTGGTTCTCTTTCTGCCCCACCTCAACAAGCCTCCTCTCCCCTGCCTCCAGGCCTTTGCCTCCACGCTTCTTTCTGCCTGGAACGCCCTTTCCCCTTCTTGGCCCCAGTCCCGCCTCCTCCCCACGCCTCTGGATCCCCAGTGTCTCCTCCTGACGTCCCCACTGTGGCTCTGTGTTGGCCTCCGCTACTGCTACCTGCCCAGCTGTGTCGCTTGGGACTTGGCTCCTGCATCTGTACGAGGGCACGAATTCAGCTCACCCAGCACAGGAGAGCAGAGATCAGGAAGCTATTTTGGGCCTGAGCTGGTCACCAGTCCCGGAAGGAGCTGCTGCCTGACTGGCGTGGCCATTTAAGGACCCCCGAACCCAAGGAGGGTCTACTGGGTGGTAGGCAGGGTTCAGAGTGCTGTGCCTGCAGTCCATGAAGAAAACGGCCTCCCCTTTCTTAATGGAGGAAGCCGGATAAACAATACCCTCCTAATAACAGAACCTTGAAGGTGTTAAGCTGGAATAGAGCAGAGAAGGCAAATCCCATCTTAAATGGAGTCTACAGGGAGGCCTCTTTTGAGCAAAGACCTGGAGGTGGCGAATGAGCCGATCTAAAAGGAGATGTGGGGGATGACCAGTCCAGGTGCCAAGGACAGCATGTGCAAAGGCCCTGAGGTGGAATGTCTGAGGATCAGTGAATGGGTGGGGCTGAACCCAAATGAGGGCAGGACAGCAGTAGGAAGCCACGCTGGGATCCTGGCTTTCCCGGGCTGGCCTTCGGGGAGATGACAGGCAGCTCACACCTGTGGGGCCCTGCCACGCTGTCCTGTGCTCAGCTCTCTGAACAAGCTATTTCCACAACACAATCTTACAAAGTGGGTAAGAGTCTTACAGCCCTGTTTACAGATGGGGAAACTGAGGCCCTAAGAGGCAGTTGTACAGCCTGTTAGCACGTGCGGATGAGCTCACTTAGAGTTTTCTGGCTGAAAGAAATACAAAAAGGCATCTGGGGTCACCAGGATGGACGTGGGCTACGTGTGAGGGGAAAAGCTCTCTAGTGAACCCTGCCGGTGACCAGGTCACAGCACTCTACATGGGGAGGTACCAGACCCTTAGTGGACTATCTTGGTGCCCTGGGCCTATGGCCCCACACCAATTCTGGCCTTAGAAGGGTAGCAAAGGTCACCTTGCCCCAATCACCCACACCTGACATGGCCCAATCCACTCCCATCCAAGTGCAAGGGGCCCGAGCCAGCACGGCTGGGTGGCACCGAGGGCAGAGCCTGGGGGTTTACCCAGGCAAGTCCATCCCCACATGGAGTGAGGCCCCTCCCCGCACCATGCATCCTCTCCCAACCTCCCTGCTCAGGAACACTGCTCTAGGCGGGCATCATGGGGCACTTGTGGGGTGGCAACATGGGGTCATGTAGGGGCCTCGTATCCAGGACTGGGATCTGAAAGCCACGAGATTGGTGCTTTGCTTTCAGTCCTGCTGCCTTTGGGGATGCCGAAGAAGGTCAAAAGTACCTACTAACTCTCTGGGGCCTCAGTCTTCCCATCTGCAACATGGGGGCAGGGAGGATGCGGAAAGCACCAGGACCCTAAGACCCCCAGATGACCCTCCTCCCTGTAGCATGTGGGACAGTCAGCCCTGGCTTAGATGCCTCCTGGCTGTGTGCCCCGCTTTCCCCACCTATGACATGGTAAGGCACAATCTAGTGTTTTAAAATATGGGTGTAGGCAACAGGCCTGGGCTCCAGCATCTCACACTCCACGTCAGTAAGAGCCATCCATACTTCCTTCTCCATCTATCCAGGACTGGGACATTTCTCCCCAGCCCTGCTCACGATGTCTGGACTAGTGCAGTAGTTACCTCCCTGCTCTGTCTTGCCCCACACAGTCTGCTCCCCTGGGAGCAGTCAGAAGGACCCTGGGATATCCCCGTCCAGCCTCTGCTCAGGACCTTCCCAGGCACCCACCTCAGTGGGAGTCAAAGCCAAGTCCTCACTACGGCTTTTGTGGCCCCCGTACCACCGGCCCCCCATGACCTCTTAACCTTATCTGCTGCGATCGTCCAGCCCCCTCTTCTCCATTACTCCACTCTCTGTTGCTCTGGATACACACCAGGCAATGGAAGGCCTCTGGTCCCACTGCTTCTTCCTCGTGGCATGTGCTTCCCACTGGAGCTCTCCCCTCCTTGCCTCTTTTAGGTCTTTACTTAACTGGCACCTTCCCAGAGTGACCCTCCCCGACACCTAATTCTAAATAGCAGAACTTTCCCGGCATGCCCTTCTGCTGCCCTGCTTTATTCTCACCAGGCCCTGGCTTTCTAGGACACTACACTTTATTTAGTGTCTGTCACCCCTCTGGACCGTCAGTCTGAGTATTCAGCACCAAGGGCAATGCTTGGCACGTAGTAGGTGCTTAGTAAGGACGGGTGGCATGAACCCCAATTCTTCCACCTCCAAGGTACAGGACCCTGAGCAACTGGGTCACTTTCCTGTGTCTCGGTACCCTCATCTGTAGAACAGGAAGAGCAGTTTCCCCTCACCCAGACCCACCCACATGCCCACAGCCCGCCTGGAACACAAGGACTTCAACGCAGCTGCTCCAACCCTGCCCTCACCCACAACCAGAACTTGCTGGAAGCTTATCAGCACAGCCCTTGCCAGGGGGATGCCCCGGGGCCCGCCCTGGGAGTATTGGGGCTGCTTTGGCTCTTAGCCGAAGCATTTACCTCTCTCCATGGGTACTATAAGCCTATCTTTAGGGCCTGCCCTGCGGTTTGGGAGACACTATGACACACTGTTCCCCTCTCCAGCTGAGGCAGGATGGGGCCTAGACACCGATGAGCTCCCCCAACTCCCCAAATACACATCTAGACCCCACCTTCCAGGCTGGAGAGAAGTTGGTGGCCTCCCACTCCTCCCTGGGCTTGGGTGGGGGATCCCCAGTCCATTTTATAGGTAGCCATTTGGGGAAGGGAAGGAGACAAGTTTAGAAACATGGCGAGACAAGTCCAGCCTTCGCCACAGCCAATTCTAGAGGGGGGCTGTCCTTTGGCTATACTGATTCGCCAAAAAAAAAAAAAAAAAAAAAAAAGGAAAACCCCAAACATTCCCATTTTCTTCTGTCTCTGTGAATGTATGGAGGAGCCTCTTGAGCCGCGAAGGGAACCAGAGGCCTCTCTGGAGCCTCAGAAAGTAAGATGGGAAAAACCACAAGGACCCTCCACACAAGAATGGCCAGCCCTGAGTGTCAAGGTCAGTAGGGCCACGGTGAGCACCACGGTGGTGGAAGGACTTGCGTTCACATGGAAGAACGCTGTGTAGGATCTGTCGGGCCCAGGTTTGAGCTCTGGCACTTTGTGATACAGGGCAAGTCACTCCTTCCCTCTGGTTCAAATCTCAGTTTGCTCATCTGTAATGGGGGGTGAAAATGCCCTCATCACAGGGATGTTTTAACAGGGAGGTGGTGGGGCCTGAGAAACATCGGTGCCCCAACCTCAGCCCCTCCTGACTACGTCCAAGGGCAGGCTGGACAAGCCCAGTTTCAGGGGTCAGACCAGGTGGGATCCTGCCCCACCTCTGCCCTAACTCACTGCCTGACCTCCCGCAAGCCTTTCCCTTTCGTGAGGCTCTGCCTTCCCTTCTCGGAAATGGGCACGATGGCCTCTAAGGGGCCTGTCTGCCACTGGGGGCCCAGCTGGGAGGGAAGAAAAAGTTATTAATGTGGAGGGGGACGCACAAGGAGTTCTTGATCCTGGACTTTATAATTCTGTTTTTTTTTTTTTATCCCCTGGACCTCTTAGGGAGAGGGGGCATGCATTAGTAAGTGCTGGAAACTTTCTTTACAGGAAATGAAGACTTGACTCTGCTTTCTGGTTTTAAAAAACAACCACCGGTCCTTGCTGAGTAGCACTTGCTGTGCGCCACTGGCACTCTTCTAAGCCTTCTCTACTCTCAGGACAGCATTTCATCCCTACAACCGGGACAGGTGTGCACTACTCTCCCATTGCCGAGATGGAGAAACTGGGGCACACAGAGATGAGGCAACTTGTCCAATGGGGCTGATGGGGACACCTTCCCCTCTACAGTGCCCACCCACTGAGGCAGACACCCCTCTCTCCCTCTACCCCGGGTCTGCCCGGAAGATTCCCCCAACCAGGTGCAGAAAAGCCAAAGTTCCCAGAGACGGCAAGAAGCCATTTAGCACCCGGGGAAAGGGAGGAGGTCACCATTGACCTACTCTCCAGGATCTACAAGAACAGCCCTCAGGGGGTGTCCAACACCGGAAAACTGCCCCGCTTGCGCAGGTGCGGGTCCCCTGTGGCTTGAAGCCGGGAGCTGGAGGCAGAGGACCCGAGCTGGCCCCACCATCTACCTCCACCTTCCCCGGGGGTCCCCTGCCCGCCGGCCCGGGGTGCTCCGCGTGGGCGCGCCTCTCACGGGCAGCCCGCTCCTCCCAGCCCCGCCAGTCGGCCGCGCCCCCTCCTAGCCCGCGAGCGCAGCCCGGGGCCTACTCCCGGAGCACCCGGCAGAACAGCAGCGGAACCGCGGCCGCCGGAGGCCACCCCGCGGCGCGCACTCGCGACGCCCCTCCCGGGCTGCGGAGAGGGGGCGCGCGCCCCAGCTAGGGGGCGGCCTCGGCGGGCCCCGCTCGCTCGCTCGCAGACAAAAGGCGGGGGCGGGCCGGACGCCGCGTTACCGTTGAGCCGGACGGTGAACTGGCGGCGTCGGCGGTCGTGCTCCACGCGGATGGGGCAGCCCTGCTCCAGCGCGCCCAGCGGCACGGCGGCCGCCGAGTGCGCCATCTGCGCGCGGGGCAGCGCCGGGTAGCGGCCGCTGGGACCTTCGGCCCGCGCCGGCTCGGCGAGAGCAGGGCGCGCGGAGAGGTGCGCGGGCCCGCGGCGGCGGTGGTGGCGGCGGCGGCGGCGGGGACGGGGGCGCGGGGCTGCCGGCAGCTGACGGCCGGGAGACCGCAGGCGGCGGCACAGAAACTGACACTCGGCGGCGGCCTCGGCGGCGGCAGCAACAAAAAAAGGAGGGGGGGCCAGGAAATCAGCTGTGAGGTCACGTGCGGCGCGCAGCCAGTGGGCGCGCGACCTTTTTGTTTTGATACATTCCATTCGACTCTTAAAGGGGCCGTGCGCCTCCCTGGCCGCGTTCCACTCGTTGCTCCAAACAAAACAACGCTAGTCGCTTCTGCGCCTGGGACAGTTTTCCCTCTTGTGTTTGACTCACAGGCAACTTTGGCCCCCCTCCGACACGGAGCCCTTCTCAAAAAGATGTAACGACCTATAGGGAATTCTAATCTTCCCCTCAAAGCTCCCATTTATTAAGCACTTGCTGTGTGCACAGCATGTGCAAAGCAAATCCCTGGTAAACTACCGGGAGTGCTCAGTAACTCAGTGAAAATTCTTATCACGACCTTGAGAAATAGGTATGCTTGACTCCATTATACAGATGAGGAATAGGGGCCCAAGGCACACTGCGGTGATTCGTAAGCAGCGATGGGAGGATTGGTGTCGAGGATCCCACCCGTATGCAGGTGTGAGTGGTGAAGAGGAAAAATCCTGAGAAGCCTTGTTTGGGAGAGGGGTGATATGCCAGCTCACCCCAAGAGGCGGAAGTGTAGGAAGAAGCCTTGGAGATCCCTGGACCCATCCCACAGATGGCGAAACTGAGTCCCAGAAAACGGGCAGGGACTTAGTCTAGGACTCCCAGGACTGTGGCGGTGGGGGGGGGGGGGTTGGAGGTGGTGGTGCTGCCTGACTTCTTTTTCTTTTGAAAGGGGACTTCCCCTCCCCCCAACCTCATCTGGTTAACACCTGAAGCAGCGCTCCCTGCCACCCATTTCTGCTTATGAAACACATGACTACAGGTCACCATTTACTAGTTTGTTTCTTAAGATGTTAAGTTTGAAGTTCATTCCCACGTTGACCACCACTCAAGTCACAGTAGAGAACACTGTGGTGGTTTCCTTACTCCCTTCCAGTCAGTGCCCCACCCTTTGAGAGAACCACTGTCTTTGACTAATTTGATTTTCCTAGAAGTTCTCATAAACAGAATCATATAGTATGCACTTTTTAGTGTTCAGTTTCTTTTGTTCAACATTTTTAAATTTCAAAAAAATTTTTTTTTAAGATTTTATTTATTTGACAGAGAGAGAGATCACAAGTAGGTGGAGAGGCAGGCAGAGAGAGAGAGAGAGGAGGAAGCAGGCTCCCCTCTGAGCAGAGAGCCCGATACCGGGCTCGATCCCAGGACCCTGGGATCACGACCTGAGCCGAAGGCAGAGGCTTTAACCCACTGAGCCACCCAGGTGCCCCTGTTCAACATTTTTATCTGTAAGATTCATCCATCTTGTATCTTTTTCATTGCTGAATGGCATTGCATTGTGTGCACATACCATAATTATTTTATTATTTTTATTTATTTAATTTGTTTAAGTAGGCTTCACACCTAACATGGGGCTTGAACTCAAGACCCTGAGATCAAGAGTCACATGCTCTAGGGACTGAGTCAGCCACCTCAACTAACTTGGGGTCTTTTAATGAACGATTTGAAGGAGGTAAGAAAGTGAGTCAGGGCATGTTGTAGGGAAAAGCAGTCCAGGCAGAGACAACTGCAGCCAGTGCAAAGGCCCTGTGGTGCGTTTAAAGAACACAGAGGCCAGTGGGACTGGCACATAGTAAGCCGGGGAGAATGGTGAGCTGAAGGGCCTGGGGGTTAGATTGAGGGTTATCGCTGGCCACAGTAGGGCTTTTGGCTTTTACTCTGAGCCAGGAGGGAGTTACCAAGAAGGTTTTTAGCAGATCAGGGATGCAATCTTAGTTTTTTTTTTTTTTTTCTTTTTAATACTGGAAAATTTCAAACATATAGTATGTGTAAATACATTAAATAGTAAAATGAAGTCAACATCATGGCTGAGGTTTTCATTTTTTTAAAAATTTAAAACATTTCAGTTCATGTTTACATACAGTAGAAATGACCTCTTTCAGCGTATAGCTTTGACAAAGGAATACCTTCCTGTAGCTAGCACCACAACCAAGTTATGAAAGTTTTATCATCCCTCCAAGTCCCCTGAGCCCCTTTTAAGCTCTCCCCCACCCCACCTCAGATTTGTTTTCTGCCCCTATTGTTGACATGCTGCCTTTTCCAGCATGTCATAGAAATGGAGTCATGCAGCATGTGGCTATCTGTGTCTGCCTCCTTCATCCAGCACTGTGTCGTCGCAACGCGCCAGTCAGCAGTCTGCTCCTTTCCATGGTTCCATAGCATTCCATGGAACTACGTAATGGCCTTGGCTGTAGGCTCCCTCTGCCTCCTTAGCTGGGTGGGGGGTGGGACCATGGAAAGGAAAGCCCAGAAGCAAGAGACCCGTGCGCTGCTCCAGAGAAGTAGGGACATTAGTGGCCAGTATATAAGCCCATTCTTCTGAGCTCTGTGGCTGCCACAGAAATGCGATGTGGAAGATAGCTCATGGGCATGGCCCCCACACTGCCACCACCTGAGATAGGAGAGGGGAACTGAAGCTTCATGATGAGGATGCTCCCAGGGGAGGAAAGTGACAGATTTAGAATCTGAGCCAGTCTGTCTCCAGAGCTGTGCTCCTCGCCCCTCAAGCTCTGTACCCCCGGGCCTCAGTTTCCTTATCTGTGAAATGGAGTTAAGGAGTATGCATGACCTCACCAAGCACCCCAAGTTCCTGCTGCTGGAGGCTGAGACCCAAGCAGGCCTGGCTCATCCATCTTGACTCTGCTGTGAGACCCCAAGTCACAGGCCTTCTCCGGGCCTCGTCTTCCCTCCCAAGCCTTTCCTGACTTGCTGCCCAGGGTCTCAGCTCTGCCAGGCTGATGTGGGATGAATGTGGGCAGGATGGCTGCCCTGCTCACCAGCCCAACATTCTTCCAAGGGAGCCCCCACACCCTCACCTCATCTGGACCCCGGCCACCCCCACGCCCATGGACAGAGGCTTCACTTTTCTTTTTAATGCCTTTACTGTTCTTCTTTCCCGATTAGATGCACAAGGGATGCTCATTAAAAAGTTTCAGAATAAACAAAATATCAACAGGACAAAAACCCTGCAGAGACCCACCTCCAAGGTCCAGCACTGTTCTCAGGTTGGCTGTGCATCCTTCTAGATGTCCGGCCCTCACTCATTCCTTCACTTGTTCATTCAGTGTTTGTTAAGCTGCCACTGTGTGTTCTGGTCCTGAGAACACAGTTGAGAATGAGGCAGACGGAACTCCTGCTCACCTGGAGCTCTGTACATAGACTGTTTTTTCTAGCACAAATGTAATCAAATCATATTCACTGTTTCGTAGTGGGGTTTTTTTTTTTTTTGAACAATATACTGTGAGCATTTTCCCTTGTTAATATATGGAAATCACAGCTCATTCTTGAAGAGCTTTTTTTCTCCAAAGATTTTATTTATTTATTTGAGAGAGAGAGTGTGGGAGAAAGAGCATGAGTGGTGGGGAGGGGCAGAAGGAGAGGGAGAAGCAGGCTCCCCGCTGAGCAGGGAGCCTCGTGCTGAACTTCAGGCAGACCCTGAACCAACTGAGCCACCCATGCACCTTGAGAACATTTTTACATCTACTTTTTGATAAGACAATATGTTCACATGTGTGAAAAACTAAAGCAAAATACATCCAGGCACCCAGGAACCATCTACCTGCTGCCCGTGTCTTCCCAGCTCCCCGCCACACACAAGCAAGCAGTTTTACTTGTTTATAATGAATCCGTCCAGACTTCCCATACATACACCTGGGTACATACAAGTAGATAATCCTTCCTCCCATTTTTAATCCAAATTAGCATAGAACCCCCAAGTGTGGCATAGCGCCTGCCCGGACGCCGCTGTAATGAGCTGTGTTGGCCCCGCGCGGTGTCCCCTCTCCACAGCTGTGCGGTCTTTCATTGATGGAATTGCATGATGTCACTAACAGATGACAAGACCCTAACCATTCTCCTAGACACAGCCCTTTGCTGATGGCTATTTGGGTCATTTCTAAATATAGCATCTTTGTCTCCACTGCAGATTCTTCCATCTTATGGATACAGTAATCAACCAGTTCTCTGTTGTTGGGCATTTAGGTCAACTTCCAACGTTTCACTGCATCGACGTGAATGTTCGCACATATGTCTTTGCCTACCTTTCCAGTTGTCTTCACAAGAGCACACCAGCTACAAACCACAGCTCCCTAGTGCTCCTATGCCAGGCGCCAGCACTGCTGTGCTGAGTGCCTCAGGTGTGTGAACCCATTAAATTCCATTAAATCCTCACACTCACCGGGGGGAGCAGAGGTCATACAGGTGAGGGGACCAGACTTTGGAGAGGCTGAGAACTGTCCGTAGTCTCCTCAGTGGTAGGTATAGAGCTGGGATCCGAACCCGGGTGAGACTGAGTCCAGAGTCTGACATCCCAAACAGAGGACAAGCCACCAGCTGGCCCAACAGATGGGACCTTCCCAAGGGCAAGGATGGCTCCCTCCCAACAAGACCCAGTCTCTCAGAGATCATCTGGAGTACATCAGGGGTCCCACGTTCAGGGCCTGCGGGGCCCAGGCATTCTGTGATTCAGGGAGCCCGGGTGGGTGTCAGACAAAAGGGAGCAGTGTGGAGTGCGGCAGAGTGCCGATCTCCTGCCCCATGCAAAGGGGCAGGGACTGCTCACTCCAGCCCCACTGACTGTCCTACGTGGGAAACCTGTCCTGGTTTTTCAATAGGAGCTGGAAATCAAATAATATAGTGAGGTCTTCTTATGTACAAGTGATGGCAGCTGATTAGAAAACACAATTGCATGTGTCTGCTGCTAACTCTTAAATGGTTGGTGGGGAGAGAGAGGATCTGGAGAGCTTAGCTAGCGATGGATCTGGGTGAA